GCCACAAAGTGGTGGTTAAAAAAAACAAAAACAAAAAAAAACCTTTGATCCGCAAAAAGGGTTTACAGGTATCTATGGTTTATAAGAAACTTTTTAAATAGAAATAATAATCTTTACTGAAAGTCCAGGAAATGTAAAAATATAAGGTGATAATTGATTGCCAGTTTTGATTTTTGATCCAGAATTTTTTTAGAACTTGGACATTTGCACTTGAAAATAACTATCAATGGACATATTTTATTGTTTTTTTCAATGAAACTAAACAAAGATATAACACGGTCTTATATATCCATTGTAAAAGACATAATAAAACCTGTTGTATGCTAAAACATGGAGAAGACAATTATTATCAAATTAAATACCAACTAAGTAAAACTTTTTTATGTCTTATTTAATAATTTTACTAAGGGATAAAATTGTAATTAAAATAACAATAATAATAGTTGGGATGTAAAATGATAAATTATGGGGGCTAATAACATCACTCATAAAAAAGTAACTTCCAATTTTAACCTTTACCAAAGTTGAAAGCAAGAGCTAATAAGTAATAAGTGTGTGACAATAACATCACTATAAAAATAAACAGCTTAACAATTATTATTTACGTATGAAAAAAAAAAAAAAAAAAACCAAACATATTATTCGATTTTACACGTTTAGACTTATTTATTTTTTTATTTTATTTTTCAAATTGAGACCTATTAACTTAAGGGTTAATGGCATCAAATCTCCCAAAAATGTGACAAAAAAAAATATATATATATCTTTGAGATTTCGGAAATAGCATAAATTTCTATCATTAAGTTTTTAAACATTAAAATAAATGAGAAGAGAGTATTTTGATAATATTTACAAACTTTTAAAAATGTAAATTTTAACCGCTCATTGACAGTTCATTGACAGTAGTGGAATTTTGTTATTTCAAAACCTCAAGCAATTTTTTGTTATTTTATCATTCCTAAGAGACTCTATTCTTTTAACCCTAAGGGGCGTTTGGTTAGAGGTTATGTGGGATTACTAGTGTAATGCCCCACTTGAGGTACGTAGTTAAGATTTGATGAATGGCTTGAATGTTTATTGATTTATCCTTATTTGAGTCTGTATGTTGTTAATATTGTTTGGTTGGCCCTTGGTTGAAAGGGTGTATTAGTTTGGATGAGTGCTTACCCTAAAAATTGTAAGACTTGGCAAAATCTTAATGTTACAGTCTTCGCTAGGGCGAAGAAGAGGCTTTGCCGCGGCAATGAAGTGCTACAACCCCCGTGTAGTTGCTGTAAGTTTTCGCCGGGGTGAATACTCGGCTGAAATTTCCCTTGAGTTTTTAGAGAATTCTTCCTTTTGGGGCTCAATGACCATTCTACCCCTAATTAGCAGGAAAAATGGGGAGTGAAATGCTAGGAAATTGCATGGAGAATAGTTTGAATGGGGATGTTTTTGCAAAGAATTAAAGGGCATAGGTGGAATTTCTAAGAAGGAGTAAGGGTATAATGGGAAAGAGTGGAGAAAATATGAGATATGAAGGGTTTAGCTTTAGAAACCTTTTCATTTCTCCCTTTCCACCGCCTCTTTCATCTTTCAATTCTTTCAAACTTTCATTCAATTTTCCAAGGATCTTTGAAGAGCTTTTGACCAAAAATTGATACAAGTTGATCCTAAGCACTTAAAGGTGAGAATCCTTACTCTAGATGTGAATTTTATTGGTGAAAGAGCAGGATCCTTATTGAGTTTGTGTTTAAGGTTTAAGAGAAAGTATCAAGCCATCAAGAGTAGAGAGCATAAATGGATTCTACTTGAGCCTAAGGTAAGTAAATGCACCTAATTTGTGATTTGCATGATTGAATGATGTGTAGAGATTTATATATGATAAATGTTTGGATTTTTATATTTGAAATGAGTTGATGGATTTATGAAGGAATTTAATGTTGATTTATGGAGAAATTTCCACCATGAGAAGGTGGATTGTGTTGATAAAATTTGGTAGAAGTATGGATAGAATTAGAAGAATTTGAGAGGAATATTTGAAGTGTGCTTTCTTTGCAGGATGTGTGATGATTTAAAGGAGTTGAACTCCAATTTTGGATGGTTAAGAAAGAAGTATAATTAAAGTTAGAATAACGTTTATGTATGCACACATATTGTTTGATGAAATGTCTAAAAGAAGCATGAGTAGAAGTAGAGAACCTTACTTTATGCAACATAGCATATTTGCATTTCATGAATGCATATAAGAAAGATTTTAGGCATGAGCCATCCATATGCATATGTTTAATTGAGTAATCACATAAGAAAGAAATATGAGAAATGAGAAAGAAACACTTTAAGAATAGAGATAAAGAAAAGAACTAATTCTCTTAGAATAAAGAGAAAGAAAGAATTAGCACTAGAGAATAAAATGAATAATAAGTGCTACAGAAGAGAAAAGAGAATAGATTGTGCGATAAGGAGCCTGTGAGTGTAGAAATTATCTGCGTGTAACCGCCATGAGAGAGCGGTCTTCGCCTTGAGAGAGCGGAATGAGAATGAGAAAAAGAATTTGTATAGCCGTGAGAATACATGCAGATGAGAGCTATACACGAGAGAGAGTACACTCACATGGTCAAGGGTTACGAATCCATGTATCGACCAAGACCGATCGGCAAAGAATAAGAATAAGAAAGAATAAGAATAAGAATAAGAATGAGAAAGACAAGAAAAGAAAGAAAATGCATTGCCTTGCATTAGTGCATATGCATCTCATCCGTACATGTTAGCATGATATCTCTCATGGCTGATGAGAATAGAGAGAAAGAAAGAATAGAAAGAAAGAAAAGAACAGTAGAAACAGAGAAAGAACAAGAGAGATTGAATTTGAGAAAGTGACAAGAGTAAGGAAAGAATTGAAAAGTGACACATGGGGGTAGCGGAGTAGAGGATTACTTACTGAGCATCTTTGTGCTCATCCCGTTGTTTTCTATGTTTTTGCAGGACACAGGTGAGGACGTGGTCGGATGGACGTCGGCAAGCGGGGAGACTTGGCTGCACTGTCTACTGTTTTTGAGAGTCTTTTTGTACAAATGATGATGTATGTAAAGAATATATTTATTAAGTAAAGAAAATTTTTGGGCCCAATCATTTTGATAAATATACTTGTCTTTTTATTAATATATTTTATGAATATGATAGTAGAAAGAAGTTGTTACAACTAGGGTTAAGTCATCTTATATTACTTAATTACCATGTTTGGTTGTCAAGTAATATAAGATAGCGGTAATCTTCAAATACCAATAGTGGTTACTATTGGTAATATTGGAGGTAATCTGATTACTTCCATTTTCTTAAGTATTTTAAGATTACTAGGGTTATCTTTTTTTTTGTTACAATTCTATCCCTTATTAATAAAATTTTAGGACAATAATGCCCTTATTTTTAAATTTATTTACATGAATATGACTTTTACTATTTCACCCCAATTAATTAACTTTTTGGACAAAATTATCCTTGAATTCAAAATAAATTGCAGCCTACCCAAGCCACCACCCCCACCTACCTGCCGCAGCCTACCGCTGGCAACCACTGCCGCGGCCAGCCGCCGTCATAGCTAGAATGACGCACGAAAGACCGAAAATGGCCGCAGTGCATCGATATGGCCATTTTCGGCTAGAAATGGTCAAACGACGCACAGAGGCCATTTCCTGCCTTTCGTGCGCCGTTAGATTGTCGGATGCCGGCGGCTTGTGGTGGCTGCCAACGGCCGACAGTGGCTGGGTTGGTGGGGGTACTTTGTTGATTTTCCAAACTTTTATTATGGGGTTGTTTTTGCTAAGTTTTTAAATGCAGATGGGGGTTATATAATCTAAATAATAATCAATATTAAAAAAATAATGTAATAATAATATTTAATTAGAGGACAATTCAGTAATTTAAATAACATACCCACTAATTTACTCCTCCCAATCAAACATATTAATATAATATACCTACCAATTAACCAAACACATTTTCCTAAATATTCCTAGTAATCTTCAAGGTAATTTAGGGTTCGTTTGGTTTGTTATTTTAGATAGGATTTTGGAAATAGTATTGGGTAGTTGAATAGGGTAATTATTAAGAGGTAAAATTTAAAATTTAGCAAAAAACCCCATAGGTTTGCTAATTTAACTAAACACCCCAATATATAAAAAATTTGTAAAATGACAAAAACACCCCACTCACCCACAGTGCCAGATTCCAGCTACCACCATCGGAATCTAACGTTACGATGCATACCAGTCAAATCTAGCCAGTCGTGCATCGATCTAGTATTTTCTGACCAGATCCACCATGGATCTGGCCGGAAAAGGTCAGATCTACTACCAGATTTAACCGTCAACGGCCGGAAAAAGCCATATCTATGACCAGATCTAATCGTCAACGGTCGGAAAAGGCTAGATCTGGCTGTCAAAGACGACCAAAGAGATGGCCGTCGTTGATGGTCAACAAGTCAACGAAGGCTAGATTTGGCATTTTCCGACCAGATCCAAAATGGATCTAGCCAGAAAAGGCCAGATCGGTGAATTACCGGCCAGTTCTGATCATTTTTATGCCATTGTGATAGATTCCGGCCACCACCGTCAATCTAACAACTATGGGTGGATGGCGGTGTTTTTGTTAATTTTTAAACTTTTTTTCAGGGGGTGTTTGATTAAATTAATAAACTTAAGGGTTCTAAAAGATTAAATAAAATATAATAGTATTTCCTAAATAATGAAACAAACAATTATTTTGGGAATATGGTAGAAAATAAAGAACCGAATGGACCCTTAATTTTCCAGTAAACCAACCTTCCTTGAACCAAGCGCCCCTTAAACTAGTGAACAAAATCCTTCAAAATGTCCCTAAATACTAAATTCACATATCCATTGGCATTGCATATTTGCATTTCCCACACAAGCTGAGGCCGGTTAGCAGCGAGCAAGTCATGGTCCAAAGTCAAAACCAAAATGACCAAAATATCCCTCTAAAACGAATTTTTTTGGGTAATTCGAACCTCCTTCTTCATCGACCATCGTTACATTTCCCCTCGTTTTTGTGGACAATAGAAACACACAGAGAAAAAATTATGAATCAGATGATACCGCAACAATGGGCGTCTCCCTGCGGAAATCAATGCACACACAAGTACGCAGCTCTCACGCAGATTCCGTGTAACATTTCTTTTCACTCTTTCGTCAAAGCAATGCAATTTTAATATTTTTAATTTAATTTTAATACGCCAATTTCTGTTCATTAGATCCGTAATTTCGTATATTACTTGTTGATTAAAGTCGAATTTTGCATGTTTTACGTGGATGGATTTATATTATATGCTTATGTTGTGGAAATTTTAAATTTTTTTTCTGACGTTTTGACATTTAATTTAGTATTGTTTGGTGCTGTATTGATGATAGTTTCTTGATACTTTATACTGAAATTTCTGGAAATAATAACTTCACTATGTTTTCTCTCTATTCTGGGAGTTAGTAGCTGGATCTCCCTTTCTACATACCTCAAATGGAATGCTCACTCTTAAAATTCGAAAATTATTCAGTCATTGTAGAACTATCTTTCAAGTTACTCCATGTCTTCAATATGCATAATAAATCGCGTTCATTTGTCTTTTGGTAAGAGATATAGCTGAGGTAATGCAATGTAATTACATTTGATCTTTCTAGTATGGAATGAATTTTTACTTTTTGTGTCTGAAATTGTTCCTTGGTAACCAACTGGACCATATCATTACCTGTATTAGTTCTTTTACCAAATTGTTCCATGTAGGAGTCTCATTGTCTATTATTTAACTGTGGTAAAGATCCTTCATAGTTTCATTTGCAAACTTGAATTATTTTTAAATAGACATCACAGGTTGAAACAAATTTTTTGGTTGCTTTCAAGTATTTTAATATTGCTTCTTGATTATTCACAATCGATTTTAATTGTGTCTAATGCTTTTGTAAACCAATGTACTAATTGTTATGGCTTTTTCTAGGGAGAGTATTTTGCAAAAAAGGTTGTGGTGCTGATGGAGACACATGGGAAGAATGTAAGCGTTTCTCTGCTTTGTTATTTATTTATGTTTGCCCTTATTTGGAATTTAGAATTGAGATTATGCATTTGATAGTATGTTCAGACCTGACCACCACGCACAATGCTTTCAAGCTTCAAATTAACACAACTTTTACAGCTTCCTTTATTAAGGATTTGCATAGCATTAGAATCTATTGAGATCCAGGTTCTGTTTATACGTTATTCTTTTCTTTTAAAAGAAAATATTACTTGGCATTGAATGTGATTATTTTATGTAGGATGCAGTATTTTCCTTGTAGTGATGCTTGAAATTATTGTAGGAATGCACTTATCTCATAATATAAAGAATGATGTTCTTACAGCTTATTGTTGGTTCATGGCTTGTAATTTCTTTGATTTTAATAATCTGTTCATTAACTGGAAATTGGTACATAAAGATATCACTGGTTTGAAGAGCAATCTGAAGTATGCTTTTATTTAGCTGGATAATTTGCAAGTAATCAAATACTGCAAAAAGATGAGTGTAGAGCCAATATATTGGCTTCTAGTTCCTGTAAGCTTCATTTGTTATGATTATTGGATCTCCAGGCTTGGAAGAGTGTAATGAGATTTGTTATAAGGATCCTGTATTAAAGGACCACCAATGGAGTGCATACATTGACCGTTCTCCTGGAGCTGCTAATTACTCTGAGGTATTTTATCTTCTAGCTATTTTCACACTTTTATACATCCCAGTAATTTTCGTGATTTTATACCACTTTCTGAACTTAATGTGATGTTATTTAAACATCATAACAATGATAAGAAACAAAGGCTGATGACCTCTGCATTCTATGAAATTGTACTTTGAAGCTGATAGATAGCTCTAGGAAGTAAGCAGATTGGAACAGATAGGGAATAATGAGAGACAATGTAGATGAAATGCTGAAAATAGAAGTCATGCATTTTAAATTATATATATCTTCTCGTAACATCTGAAGTTTGAAACTCCTAGGCACTAAGGCTGTGCTAGTGTCCTCCACCATTCAACCTGGGTCGCATCAAACAGATCGTACTTGGTAATTCAGAATATATGTCATCTGGATATTGCAAGTTCTGTATAAAATTCTGAGTGTGAGAAGAAATTTGAAGTTTGAACAAATTTTGGTCTGGGTGACATGTTGTATCTGAAAGTTTTGTTGATTTCATCCAAGTGTTGCATATGGAGGGTAATTAATGGTCTCTTAAATGCAATTTTGGTACTATCCCAATTTGTAGCTAGTAGTTTTGCTAGGTCGATTGAGGTGCTAAGAAAAAATTCACCATCTTCAAGTAAGCTAGTATATTTGAAAGGTTTACTTTCGATTTACATGTATTTTGAGCTAGTGTAAGCCTGTCACAAAAGGGCCTGAGCTTCATCTGGAGTTTTGATTTATACCACACCATCTTGCAACCTGTACAACATTGGTGAGCTTGATAAGAACAAATAGCAGTCCATTATGCTAACCACTTATAAACTCCAAACCAAAGATGAAATGCTGCTTGTTGCAATGGCCGATGTCATTATTTGGGATTTTATACATTTCTGCCTCTAGTATTAGAAATTAGTATTAAAAGAATTTTGTTATGTTTAAATCATTTTATTAAGGACATCTCAAGTTAAATTTATCTCAAGTTAAATTTAGTCGCACGACTTGTCTTTGTGTAGTATTGCAGTTTCTTAATGACCACTGATCTCTTTCTTTATACAGGAATGTTTCCATGCTTGTGTTGCTGGCTGTGGTTATAAGGTTGGTTGTCAATTTTAAGGCCTTTGGTTACTTCTTGGTCCCGGAGTTTCATAAACTCATTGATGTCTGTGCATTGTAGTTTGACATTCACCCAGAGAAAGTTGATCAAGTTCGTCCAAACAGGCCACTTCCACTTCCACCTCCCCCTGTCTCAAAGCCACATCCTCCCACTGTGGAACACCGTGGACCTTCAGAAGATGTACCTGCCACCTCAGCATAGTCAGATACAAATGCAATTTTTAGCAGAGAAATTTATACTAAAAGTTTTGTTGGCTTAATAGTTTGCGGGAACATTATACTTGCTACTTGCATACTGATGATATAAATCAGTAGTCTTTGGTTCTCGTCAGCTGAGGCTTAGATTTTGTCCTGGTCGGGGTTTATAAGCTTTCTCCGTCACCTGAGATAACTGGAAATGTAAAATTTGATACATTAAATTAATGGCAGATGGAATCTGTTGATATTGATAATTTCAGAAGATTTATATATTATATAAAGCTTTGGATTTGATCTCCAGATTTTGGTAAAAAGAAAATTAAAGATTAGTTTAGAGGTAAGTGAAAATTTCTATTGAGATAGAGTTCCATCGACTGAAAAACCGTCCTCATGCTGCTCAACGTGTTTGCCTTTTTTTTCATTTGCTTTAGCGTAGGAACAATTTTTTGTACATTCGATGCACGTACAACTGTCTAGTAAGGGGGCATATGTCATACTCATACACGCATGCTGGTATGGTACACTTTCATTGGGTAATTTTACATGCATTGGATGCACAAAAGAATAATTATTTGTTGGTTTGTATGAAATAGGTTGAATAAATTTTTTGTATAAGATGTATCATCACATAATAGAATTGATAGAAAAAGTTTATTGCTTGATTATGGGATTAGGTGTTTGTGAAGAAGTGATTTTGTTGTTTTGTTGGAAGAAACTAATAAATAGGAGTGATAGGTAGCCACGAAATGGACTGCAAATTTTGCCCAATAGCCCTTGTTAGAGTCATGAAAGTGACTCTATTTTGGTGATAAAAATACTCCAAATGTGATTAAATTGAAGTATATTGAGACAATTAAAGAATTTATGAATTTATTCACGAAAATCGCTTCCTAATATTTTTCTTATGAATTTAACATGTTTGGAATGATTTTGGAAAAGATATGAGCTGATATTATGTTATGGTTTATGGATTAGGGGTGATTTTGTCTCATTTATGCTTTTTAGGGGGTAAATTGTCATATTTATAAGGGTTGATTTTGTCACTTTTCAATCATGCAGGGACCAAAGAATTTTGCAGTTTGTCTATAAAAAGAAAAAGAAAGGTCACGTTACAGGGGGGTGCGCTGTTCATCCATTTTCCGGAAACTCTTCGTCTTCCTTTCCGACGGCCTCCAACGATGATCCATCTTCCCTGTGCACCGATCTTCATCAGCCGTTATCACCACCGCAAATCACGCACAATCGCCGCCGCAACTCTTCATCTTCCAGCAGTGATTTCTGCAGTTTCTGGCGATGTTTCAGCTTCTTGGTTATTGATCTTCCTTCCCCACGGTTGGATCTAGCACTTCCAAGCTTCAGCTGTTGCCAAAACCGCCGAAGTCCGCCATCTAGCCGCCGCGCCTTTTCATTTTCCAGCCACGATCTCGCTCATTTCCGACGACCTTTCATCTCCTCAGGACCTGATCTAAACTCTCCATCACCAGAGCTTTCCATTGGTACATTCGGATCCCATTTTTGCCACCATTTTCCGGAAGACCCGTCGGAAAATTAACGATTTCCGGTGAGTGCAACTATTCGTATTCCGGGCTGTCCGTTGGTAGTTTTCGCCCCTTCTTCGCATCATATCGCTATCGGTTACTTCCTCTCCGCCATGATCAGCTTCGTTTCCACCGTTTCAGCCTCCATCATCACCACCATGAGCGGCTGAGTTTCCGATTGTCTGTTACGGCGTAGGTGAGATCGAGATTGACTCCATGGCTCTGCTCATCAGCTCTCGAACATTTGGTAGTATTGTGTTTCGAATTATATTTTTTTTCGTTTCATGTTTGATTTCGATACTTTAATATGATTTGAGCATAATTTGTGATGAATATTGTTGTCTATTGTGATTTAATGTTTTCATAGAACTGGTTGAATGATAAACGTTGGTTTGAAATAATTGAATGATGAATATTACTTTTCATTACTTCGCATCAATTGTAATTGAGCTGTGTTTGGATTTAATTTAATTTCTATTATTGATGCGTTTATTGTGAAGTTGGTTGATTGGAAGATATGTGTTGACAAATTGTATTTGTTAATCGCGTACCAACTAGTGGCATTGTCGTGTAGCGTTTATCGACGTTCAATTATAGTCTTTAACCAATCGAATTTGAATGATAGGGTGAGACATGATAGATTATACCTAGAGTACCAGGAAGCCATTTCATTGATTTACCTTACCTTGTAGGTTTAGGGGATCGTAGAGGGTGGAGGAGAATTGTGTGAGTCAGTCTCGTGTTGAACCCAAACTGTAACGGCAACATTTTTATTATAAAGTGTTCATTTGTTTTAATTTCACGCTTTTATTATTTGTATTTAGTTTGTTTAGTTTAATTAATCACATTGCCAATTTCATTTCCGCTACTCAAAATACATTAGGTTGTTAGTCTTGCTCTCTGTGGATTCGACCCTGCTTACTACTAACTACGATATTTAAGTTTAATTTTGTGACTGTGACGACCTATTCGACAGCCCTCATCAGGCACAAGTGGGCGACAATTTAAAGTGGTGACGAAACCCCTCGTAGGGTGATATCAAAAGGTATTGGGAATTGGATATTCTGTAATTTAGCCTGATACTTTCCTATTTGATCCTATCGAGTACCGTAGGGCATTTTAAAAAATAACTCGATGGAGGTATCAGGTGGTTTAGGCTATATCCAATCTGGCCATATGTGGCCATTTCAGTGACTAGCAAAGGGTGGCGACTTGGCGTGGCTCTGCTTAGGCCAAGCTAGGCCACAATGGCATTAGCCTTGGCTTTTGGTCACCTATTTTATATTTTGCTATTTTTAGTTATTATGAAAATAATAAATTAAATTTTAAATTAATATAATTTTAATACGAATTATTTTTCTAATTACACACATTTCAAAACTATATGAAATTATCAAATATTATAAACTTGATAAATGTCATTTTTACCCCTTCCAAATGTTAAGGGTGCGTTTGATTCATTATTTTGGATAGGATTTTGGGGATAGTATTAGATAGTTGAATAGGGTTATGATTATGAGAATATGATTTGCAGAATATGTGTTTGGTAGAGTATTTTGACCTTGATATTTGTGTTGAATATTTGATTAATATATTTTTTTATAAATGATTTATTAATATAATATTTTGTTTAGTTTTGTTAAAATAATGTATTATTATAGATATAACTCATGGCTGGGCAGTTGAGGTGGGTTCACGGCTATGAAGATGCAGTGAAGAAAATGGTGAAGCATGTGAAGATGCAGTGAAGAAAATGGTGAAGCAGTTGTGAAGATGCAGTGCAAAAAATGGTGAAGCAGTGAAGAAAAGTGAAGAAAAATGAAAACTGTAACGGTAAAAAATGGATACTGAGAAAGCTGACAAAGCTATGAAGATACAATGAAGAATTCAAAATTGTGTCAGGATTATATTTTGAGGATAGAATTATGTAAAAAATGAACCAAAACTATCCTAATAATCCGGTCCAGAATATGGAAAATAATAATGAACCAAACACGGTGTAAATCTAACTCATTTAATCGTATTTGTCCTTTTTATGTTATTTTGAAACTTTTGTCTCTTTTTTATTCCAAATTCAGAAAACATTGTCCCTAAATTGACAATATCTCATAAATAAACAATGTAATTGTACATGTTTTCATTGAAGTTTTATGAGAATATTTGTTTTTGTATATGCATTTATATAAGTTTATTGACAATTTATGCTTTTGATTAGATCATGTTTACAATGCTTTTCAATGGTATGATTCATTATAATTACATGTATCAATTCTTTCAAATTCGAAACTTAGAAAGTGTGTAATTATCATGGCTTATCTGTTTACAATGCTATAGTTAACGATCATTATAGGGAAAGATACATTCTGAATACAAGCTCCAAAGAATTAATCACACCTCTTTTGTATGGTTAAAGTGTAAGTAATCAATACATTATAAGATACAAAGCATACTCATTAAAGTGTAAGTCATCTATATATTGCAATTTTCAAGGAAAAATCTTCCATGTGTATTGTGCTGAACCATCAAGTTCAGACTCCCAATGTTTTTCGTATTTCATAAGAAACCGAATAACATCCATTGTTTCTGTAAAGTTAATATGAGAGGTTAATATATTCACAAGTATTAACAAATTTCAGAATTCAAAACACAAAATAAAACAAAGTCTCAATTCAACCTAACAGTGCCTAATAGAGCCCGAGACATACCAATCTGGCATTATTCCAAAACTCATAATACCCGACATAACCCAATCCACTTTTTCGAGTGTTTCTACTTCAAATGTGTCCTATATACCTTATTATCCAACGCTTATTAGGTTGTTGAAATTGTATGCCCGATACTACCCGATTATAAGGTATTAGGCATTAGTCATCTTCTACCCCTAGCATAAACCTAGCTGAAACTATACCAAACTCACAACCTCTAGTCTTTTATATGCATTCTTACTTAAAAATTAACATAACAAACATACATATCAGGGCTGACCCAAGGGATAGGTAGGTGAGGCACCTACCTAGGGCCCCCAAAAAATGTCCAAATTTTTTATAATTTTTTTCGAATATATTACAAAAATAAAAATAGTGTATGATTTCTTATCCAGGCCGGCCGAAGGCCCCCCCAAAAAAAACTAAAAAGACTCAAATTTATTATAAACTTGTTACATTATTACCACCCAAAGTTTGACGAAATAGCAAGTTTGTACCTCTAATTTCATATATTCCAATTTACACCCCTAAATTAACATATTGTTTTTTTTTTTTTTTTTACAATGAAAGGCTAAAATGGTAATTTATATGTCTTAAATTACTCAACCCCAATTAAATTCCAAAATTCGATATTCACATAAATCATCTCCGCCCCTATTCCGCCGCCAACCATTTAGAGCTAATTCTAGTCGATTTTTTTCACCAAAATCGACCGAAATCATCACTTTCTCATTTCCCAAGTGTTTTCCCAACCTTGATAGCCCTCGATTTGCCCGATTTTTTACAAATCTCGCAACCCAGCTCCATCGCACATGACAACCATTTATGGCCTTTTCAACATGTACCTAACGTCGTTGACCTTCCCCGACAACACCATCTTCCTCTTCTTAGCCTTCTCACTAAAACCCCTATCATACCTCATCCGTTTACTCCGCCAATCGCCGACCACTGATACTTTTTGGGCTGTGACTTTTCACACCTTTTTTTGGTCAATCCTGGCATTGGAAATCACCCATTTCATCATCTATCGCTTCTCCAGCATCTGCTCTCTAAAACCTCCTACCAACCTGACCCCGTTAGCCCGCCGGTCACCGTCCATCTCTCCTAGTGATTTTGCATCTCAAAAGGCAAGAAAAATAAATTTGAATTTTTTTTTAATATATGCTTATATATTAGAAGGCTCCAAAGTAACTCTTGCCTATGATCATAAGTGTTCTTGAGACAGCCCTGATACATATTATCCAGCCCAAGCTTATATAAAATATTTAAGATCAAATCTATAAGAAATTTTCAATTATATACTTATATACCAAATAGTTTAAATCATAAATAACATACCTGTTCGGTTGTGGCTTCTAATGGATGAAAAACTCAACAGATGAGTCAAATAATTTTTTCTTCTAAAAAAAATAAGCTTCAATAATGTTGGATTGTGTGAGAACTTCTTGATTTGGAGAAGAAAGAGTGTAAGGCTAAGTGTTAATTGAAGAAGAAATGGGCAATTTCGTCCAAATTGAGACAAAATATGTGGAAGGATATTTGTTGAGAGATTGTTTTTTCTTGGGGTATTTTTCAATTTGGTCCCTCAATTATAGGGGTATGCAAAGAACTGGTTAGAATCGGAACCGGTAGGAACCAAAACTAGAACCTGGAACCAGGGTATAAATTTTTTTAATAAATAATAGGGACTGTTTTGATATTTTACAATTTAATTGAAATTTCATTTAGGTCATTAAAGTGTAAATGTGAATAAGGTTTAAGAATTGGGGGAAATCTCCAGTTGCGGCAAAGGTATTTCCGAAATGATTGGTGGCAAATTGTGGAGAGAGGGGGAAGAAGAAGGAGGTGAAGAAGAAGAAGTTGTGGAGCAGGGTGTCGACGAAAAAGAAGTTGTGGAGCATGGTGTCGACAAAAAAGAAGTTGTGGAGATGGGTGGTGGTGAAGAAGACGACGAAGAAGTTGTGGAGAGGGGTGGCGGCGAAGAAGAAGATTGGGTTGTGAGAGGAAGAGCAAAGTGGGTTTGTGGAGACTAAAGATTGTGGGTTGTGGAGATTGTGGAGAGGGGTGGCGGCAAAGAAGAAGAAGAAGAAGATTGGGTTGTGAGAGGGAGAGCGAAGTGAGAGGGGTGGCAGCTAGGGTTTATGATGAAAGGAGAGCCGTTGGATTGCAAGATGTTGGGGTGTATTTGTAATATTTATAAACTATTGGGGGGTGCTAAGTTTAAAAGGTTTATTTGTTATTTTTTAAAAAGGGTACTTTAAAATTATCCTAACCTATGTTTCAAGTTTCTAAGAATTGGAACCGTGGTTTCAAATCTAAAAAACTGGTCGGTTTCGATTTCGGTTTTAATTCCTTTGATTTTTCGTGGATACCTTCACCTAATCACCTCACTGAATTAAGGATATTTAATATAATTTCTTCTAATAAAAACTAATAAATTAATGGTGATGGTCATTACGCGGTCTTGTAATTCTAGTTAGCACTCCCTCCCAAAAGAAAATATACAAATACACCTTAAGGAAACAAATGCACTCATAAAACACTCTCCGCTCTGAACACTGATCAGACTCGTCCCGTTTAGAGCTCCACGTACAAGTACCCACAGAATATTACAAATTGAAATTGCAAATCGATTTATAATTAAATCCATTCATAAATTAAATCTTTTTTAAAACCCTAAAGCTATTATATCGCAGCAACAATGCCGCAAGTGAGGATTATAGCGAAAAATTTTATGGACATGGTAGCCTCTCTGACCGCCAGGGACCTCGAAAAGCTCTACGACAATCCCTTCATTTGCGAAGCCATTCTCAGGTTTACTTGCTTTTATTCTTTTCTAATTTTTATATTTTTATTATTCTTGATTTTCAGTTCTGTTTATTATATTTAGATTTTAAAGATTTATTTGTGGGGGCACCAGCTTGTTGAATTGAAATTGATAAGAAAATAAGAGAAATGAAATAATCGAGAGTGTAGCGTTTTAGTGTAGTAAGTATTTAATGATGATTTTTGTTTTTGATGATATGATTAATGTTGTTTGTTGTTTGTTTTGGTACTCAGGTCACTGCCCCCTCTCGCAAAGAAGTATGTATTAGAAATGTTGTATATGGATTCTGCGTTACCCGCGAAGTCGGTGGAGGAATGGGTACTGTCAGATGGGTTCACTAAGCACAGAGTTTCCATTGATCGGTTGGTTCAGTTGAGAATATTTACAGAGGAAAAGTATGCACCTTCACTGATGTGTTTAGAACTCTTCTGTGAAACTGGATAGCTAGAAATTGAGAGTAAAGTTGAAATTTTTGAGCTATTTTTAAGCATGTTGCTCATGAACTATAACTTTTGGTCGAATCAAAGAGAGTATGCATGAAATGTGTGAGGTTCAACTTAGTCTGATTGAATTTTCATTTCCTTTTGAATTTTCAGCATGAGTTGTTTTATTAGGTTTGTGAAATAGAAAGCTGTGCTAAGGTGTGGGTTTTACCTTGTGGACCATTTCTCACATATATGCTGTTGCTTGAAAAGCAGGCCACTTTTGTCTTTGCTATAAACTTTTGGTTGGGATTATTTCCCTTTTCATTTTTCCTGATAAGTTGATCATGGCCGTAAAAGCAAATTGCTATCACATATAAGTTGCATTATTTGGCAACTTACTTTGAAATACTAAGTTTAGCAGTTTTATCTGTTGTTATCCTATATAGTACTTTATGTTTGGAAAAAAATCTGTTTTTAATGGCTTTGAAACTAACCCTATATGGTTTGCCATCTGCTGAAGTTCTTAAAATTTTATTGGCAGGAAGAAGGAAACCAGTTACAAATTAAATCCAACTTTCCAGGCTAACCTTCAAAAGCATTTGATATATGGGTGAGTTTAGAATTCTAGCCGACTTCTTGGATGTACTTCTCAGTTCTCACCCTCTGCCTGTTGTTTTGGTTGGGAGGTTTATAGTGTCAGTAGTGCCTGGTGATCTGGATAAATCTTCCCTTCTTCTTGTATTCTTTAGGGTCAAGCAACGGAGATTTTTCAGGATTTTAATTTATTGGTTGTACTGCCCTCCTATTGACAAAAATATGCAATTTATTATAATGAACTTGAAGATTCCACTTAATTAGTCGACCTAGGATGTGCTTTTCTACTTTTTCACTTGCACCACATCTTTTATTACTTCCATCGTTGATTTATGACATGAGATTGATTTGGCTATCAATATTACTATGCCTTCTTTTTATAAGCAATGAATTAGATGATCTTATTACTTTATCAATGAAATTAATGAATCTAAACTTGCAGTGGAGCTTTGCCAAGGGAACCAATGCCTTCAAATGTTACTGTGAGGCTCCCAAGCTTGGAGGAACTTGAGGCCTATGCCCTTGGACAGTGGGAGGTGTGAACTTAATATATGTTCACTGAATGCATGTTCAATAATACTTTTATAACAGTCATTGCACCTTTAATGATATGTAATGGCATATTTAGCTTTTGGAATTGGCTATTACATGGTTCATTTAAATTTATCTGCTCTTATATCTTGCTATGGTGTTAAATCAGTGTTTCTTGCTGCAACTTATTAGTTCCTCACAAGCTGAAAAGGCAACAAATTTCAGCTCTTCCATGATGAAGGTTTTTCAGCGAGGACTTTTAACTCAAAGGTCATATTTCTTGCCAAATTTTAGTCCCTGGTTTCTTTCTGCAATTAATTATTAAGGATCTTGATTCTCTCATGTGGTATTGTGTTGTATATGTGCTTTGATTATAGGGATAAAGAATCCCCAAGATTAACCGAGAGCGGTTTTCAATTTTTGGTATGTATGTAGAACGTAAGATGTTTGAAATTCTTATGGTGTGCGGCTGATAGTTATTTTCTATATGTATAAATCTACAGCTGATGGATACCAATGCGCAGCTCTGGTACATTGTTAGAGAATATATCACCAATTCTCAGGTATGATCTCCTGAGATTCTTTAAGGTGGTTCTGTCAGCATTGAACTTCTATGAGTCCTTGCTATTAATATTACAGTATGACTGGTGTATCCTTTTTAGTAAAAAACTTAAGTTATCATTTATAGAGATCGAAGGCAATCGCAAAGAACTGACTAAATGCCAAGGGTGTGTTAACTATACTTTTCATTTTCAATTTTTTCCTTTTTTTTTCCCTTGAAAATGTTGGTACTCAGTCACTTGACCAATTTCATTTTTAGGATGGTAAACAGAAAATAATATTAAAAACAAAAAAAAAAAGCATGCACACAATTAGTTGATTAACTAAAACTAAAAAAAGACACAAAATGTCAAAACCACACAAAATGAAAATATGTTGGAAAAATTGATGCAATCTCATTTGAAAATAGAGAACTCAAAACTTATTATTTTTATTTGAACTCTTTTTCAAAACCAAAGCACAAGAACTATAAAGACGGCTACCTAAATTTCTTCTGATTTCTGATTGTTCATTTTAGAACTTTGGTATCAATATCATTAACATGGTTATATGTTTTAGTTTTAGTAGTATGTTTCTTCTTTTTTTTTCGTTTCAGTATTTAAAGTTCTGCATTCCTTGGTTAGATAGACTGATCATTTTCTAGAAAGAAAAAAATAAGAATGGTTTATTTTGTACTTTTTTTGATGGTATTACCAGAGATGACGGTGCACAGGTACTTAGATTATTTTTAAGTGACGTGACATTAGTTGTTTGTTTTTATGGGATAAGATATTCGTGTTCTAGTCAGACTTTCTTATGTTTGTGCAGGATCGGGTGTCAGTCAAGCAGATTTAATTTCATTTCTTCTAGAGCTTAGTTTTCATGTTGCTGGTGAGGTAGTCATTTAACTTGTTTATTGTACTTTGCGATTATGAGATCTATCAGCACAATGCATTCCTTTCATACATCATTGCTGTAAATAATGTCTTTTGTTTGATTGTTCCATTCCATGTGCTGCTTCTCTTTCCAGTGCTGCTCTTTTTTCTATATTTTTTGAGGATCTTAAGTTATTTTCCAGGAATTCTCTAAGTAATTTACGCTCACTGTAACACCGTGTGTTTCTTATGTTTTAGGCATAATATAAACGCTGACGATCCACAAAGGAATATGATCAAGGACTTGGCTGACTTGGGATTGGTCAAACTTCAGCAGTTGTGCTACTCTGTGCTAGAAAATGCTGATTCTCTTAGTTAATTATTAATTATATTATATGAATTTCCAATCTGATTTACGCATACATCTTCAGGGCAGGAAGACATTTGGTTTAACTACTAATTAGCTACCAATCTTTCAGTGAGCTTAACAGTCATCATCACGGAAAGAGGTATACTGTTGTGAGATGATCACCTTATCTGGCTTGAAAAATTAATGAATATGTAGTAAATATAATTTCAATTCTCTTCAATGTGCACTAGGTAGTGATGGTGATTGTTTAGATTTGTGTCGAATGTGTCTGATTAGAACCATATTTGCCATGTTGAGCCATGCTGACTGCTAAGCTTGAGCTTACCTAACTTCTGCGAATAAATATATGTATTGTAACACTTTCAGCACTTCCCTTCTGTTTGCTGTGCTTTTCTACATGTTCTTAGTGGCATTGTCTGCTATGCCTGAAGAATTGCCTTCTAGCACATACATGCAGGGAAGCACCATTAAAGGCACATGACTTTTTGGGATGTTTTCTGACGTTGTTGTCTGCATTTTGCTGGAATTTGGTTTCACATTGATTTTAAAATATTAAAATTATTTGCTTGTAATTGTGTGGGTATTTTATAACAAGATGGGACAGAAGAACTAGTATTGATGCCTTCTATTTAGACATGACATGAATGCATGCAACATAATGGATGTCTTGTTCTTCATGGCTGAATTATTCTGCAGCACAAACTTTAGACCTTCAACTTTGTGACCTATTATGAATTATAATGCCCTTTTGAACTTATTCTTTAGTTCTCATCTTTTTTTCCCCTCTCCATAAGTGTAACGTGCACTTAAAATTGGTTTCAGTTTAATATGTATTTATTTATTTTTCCTTTTCTTCAGGATTTGTTGTTGTAAACAAACTTCAGGATGTATCTTACTCACATCTAAGTTACACTGTGAAATTTTGCGCCTTTCTCAAGTAGGACTACCTCACTATGATAAATTTCTCTAGTCTTCCTGAAATTATCGATTCTTACTTGATAATTTTTTTTTAATCTTCTTGTTTTACTTGTAGTTTATTTTCCCCATTAAGTATCAAATAGTAGTCCATGAAGTATTTACAGTTTTTAACTGAATATCACTGTTCATTCATGATTATTGTTTTTTGTTTGTGATTGAAACATTAGTACATCACCATAAAATGTGAGACATGGATAATTTGGAGTTGAAAGTAAACTACCTTTCCATAAGACTCTTGAAGTTTATCATGGCCATCAGAAGGCATTCATTTTGAAGCTGTTTTCAGACATACACTTAATACTTGATGAAAAACAGAAATGATTCTTTTTTTTTGTTCCATTTAAGTAAATGATGTTCTGTTCTTTTTGTTTGCAAAAATATTGATTCATTTTCCACTCTTTCTAACTATTTGAATTTCTCATTTGATTTGCTCATATTGTTTCTATTCTGTATGATCTGTTTTATTTAGCGCCCAGACTGGGACAAAAATGGTGCTTATATGGATATTACACGTAACATTGTGGTAATACATGCAGGATAGAGTATCAACTTCCAACCTTATAGTTGGGCATAACAAAAAAGTTTATATAATGCTTTCGAGAATGGCATCACGGCAGAGCAAGAGCATTGATATACAGCTGATTAAGTGATTTTTCTCTGTTTCCATCCAACTGAGTAATTTTCATTATGTCTCATTCCTTGCCTAATTAGTCAAAGCCAACTACTAGTTCTGCCATGATCAAAATTTTGGCTATAGAATTGCTTATTTCTATCTTTTAGTTGATAATTTAATTATTTTCATAGTCATGTATTTTTTGATAATTGTGGAACTATTTAGCCTCATCTAACTCCTGGCAATTTTCATTTGCAGATAATTTCTTTTCTTCAGCAGAATGCACATCCTCGTTTGCTGAGAGAATTCCATCAGTACCCAGAATGTTTGTGATCAGGTATAATTCTTCCCAACACTAGATATTCTCCTCGAAATATTGTGGCTGTGATTTATGTTAAAATCATATGAATAGTGTTTCCTGACCTTCCATATAATTGAAAGTCAGCTGTGGTCTTCTCGTCTCATTTCGATGTGATAAAAATCCTACATGTAAACGTGATTATTCATTTTCTATATGTTAAATTGCACTCTCATTTGGCAGATGAGATTGTGAATCAGATCTGAATAGGGTAGAGATGACTCTCGCTTATTCTATGATGAATTTCCTTCAAGGGTAATCTCAAGCATCTTAGCTCTCGATTGATTTCTGTCCACTCTTTTCTATTTAGTGATTATATTTGAGAGATATATGCTTAATCTGGCAGGACATCTTTGAAGCTGCTTGTGAATATGCACGAGAACGTGGTAGTTGCTATGGGAGGATTCAAGAGAATGCGTCTATCAATCAAGGCTGAGATTCACATGAATATGCGAGAGTTCCTTCGGCTCAAAACAATTAGAAAAGATTTATTCGTGTCCTGACAATGCAAACTTAAGAAAGGGAGGTACACAAATTCGAGTTTTTCTTGCTGGCGTTCTCTTTTGTTCATAGATTATAGGCGAACTGTCAAAGGTATGCTTTCAGAATTGTTGAAAAGAATTAGAAAAAGTCAAAGACTCGATTCTCACTGCAATTAGACAGGTCATATCTTCTTTGTGAGGGGATGTATAAACTCGATTCAAGAGTGAAATAGAAATATTAACCACCACATGGATAGAAAATGTAGAAATAGAAAGACGAGGAAGTATAATCTACAGTCGGTGTAAATCATGAAGGCAGCCCACCGGAAAAGAAGGGAAATTGATTTTGAAAGCATTTATAGCTGAAGTTATTGTTAAATTTTGTACCAAATTGTTTTGTAGTCTATATGTTTTCCCCTGTTTATTGCTGACTTTAAGCATTTCCTACTTTTTTGACTTAAAAATGAGACACAAATTTAATGATTCCAAAGTCTTTTCAGCTTAAAAGCTCTTTGGTAGAATCTTCATTAAATTGAAATTGATGGCTAATTTAACCGAGTTGCTTACACTTGCATATAAGTGAATTTGATACTCCCTCAATTTACAATTTTGTTAGTACATTTTCAGGATGAACAAAAATTGAAGAGTTAGGACACGTCCAGAAAATTTAAACATCTATATTTGACGACTACGTGGATGTCTGTTTTCTAACAGGCGAACTTCCATTGTTCTTCCAGGTTCAAGTTCTATGTTTTTTAAGTTGTTCAATTTAGTCCTTCTCGAGTGTTTTGAGAATGTAAAGAAGCAAAAAGGGAGGTGCTTCGTGGCCTATTGGGCTACCATGTCCCAACATCCAATCTTATAAAAGATGGGATTCTAGGTACGGCAAAGGGGTTGTTTAGATCGGGGGTATATAAGATAACAGGATAATTTTCGTTTATTTTGTAAGATTTTGGAGTTTGGTTTGCAAGTAATAAAATATTACGGTAATTTTTTATTGCAAATAGTGTTTACTATTAGTAATGTGAGAGGTAATCTTATTACCTTGTTAGGGAGTGTTATTAAAATATTACCGGGGTAATATGATTATTCTATCATTTTTCTCTTAATTAAAAACCATTTCAGACATAATTGTTTTCAAATGTTTACCAAATAATAATTACCAAACCTCCTAACATTTGAGAAATTAGTTAAAACACTCAAGCCATAAAAAAGTTTAAAAGTTTACAAAATACCCCCAGTCACCCAAGACCACCGTCGGCTGTGACTCATCACCGTCGGTTGCTGACGTCAGTCGTCGTAATAGTGCAGGATCGGTGGGATCTGGTCGGTCATGCATCGTTAAAGCCTTTTCTGACTAGATTTGGCGTTTCTATGACTGTTTCATAACCAAAGATGTGGTCGTGAAATGACCATAGATTTGTGATCCATGGCCATTTCTGGCTTTGCTGGTGCATGGTCGGCCATATATGGCCAGTTGTGCGCCATTCTGTCGATTGTCGACGACGGTTGACAATGGTGGCTGGCTGCTGGCAGTAGCTTGGGGTGGGTGGAGGTGATTTTGCTACAAATTAAAATTTTATATGACTGTGGTG